GACATCGTTACTGGGAGACTGCTGGGGTGATCTTCCCGCACACAGCCCCACCGCTGTTATGGGTTGACAGTCATCTCCCAATTATGTTTCAATGTTGTCATTCTTTCATGCCTAACCCTGGAGGAGACTGCAAGTGGCTATGCTGAGACACATTGCTTATCCATGGTCCACCATTGTCACTATTAACCTCCATCAGGGCCATCGCCATAATGAGGCAGCTTGAGGCAGTTGCATACCTGCCACCCTCTTTCTGGCCAGGGTGTCCCAGGTTGCTAAGAGCTCTTTGCAACCTGTGACGCTGTCGCCCGTGTCCCACCCAGCTCACTGACATCACTGGTTGCTAGGAGCAGAACAGGACGCTCTGGCTGGCGTCCCGCTCAGCTCCTGCCTGGCAACCAGTGACTCAGTGAGCTGGGCAGGATGCTTAACAGAGGTGCTGTACATGCCCCTTCCCACCAAACCCTTCCCCCCCAGACCTCCACCCCCCTAGACCTGTACTTCCAGCACCCAGCAATGCCCCCACCTCCCCACCCCCAGGCCTGCACCATCAGCAAACACACACCCTTGCCTCAGGTGGCAAGAATAGTAAGGATGCCCCTGACCCCCATTCACACCTGAACATTTTGCTGTGTGTTTCCCGAAGTACGACAACACTCAGTATGCAAAATCTCATCATTTTCAATGGTGCCCTTTACTCCTGTGCAGCGTGTCACCTGTTGCTTAAAGCTCGAAGCATTATCGGTCCCATAAACTTCAATGGGAGTGTCTAAAAAAAAATCTGAAAAACAAAAACCCTCAAGTCTAAGAACGTCTGTAAAGGTGCAAATATTTGAAATAATTTGAGAGAACTAGCACAAAAATACACTCAGCTCAGATGTGAATGCTGGCTAAGCAATCCAATCCAGAGCAATGATCTGCAGTCCATGTTGGAACGAGTGCATGCAGACTGGAAGTAGCTGAAAGAAAGTGGAGGAGATCAACAGTGCTGAGATATAGAACAGGATATAAAATACAGTGGTTAAGTGGTTACTGCTTGTGGCACTGGGGGTCTCTGGTTCAAATCCTGGCCTGATCCACTCTCTTCAAGGAGTTTGCATGCTCTTCCTGTGCTTGCGTGGGTTTCCTCCCGCACTCCAAAGACATGCTGGTAGGTTAATTGGCTCCTTTCTAAATTGGCCCTGTATGTATGCATGTGAGATAGGGACCTTAGATTGTAATCTACTTGAGGGCAGGGACTGATGTGAATGTAAAGCGATGTGTGAAATTGTCTGCGCTATATAAATTCCAATAATAAATAAAACACGGCAATATTTATTGAAGAAAAGGCCTTGGACATGGTTTATTTTATACAGTGCAGCTTCCTGTGCAAACTAAATGTTGTCCCATTAGAGTATGGATCTACATTAATGCATGAAGACTCCATACAATCCACTTCAAAAATACTTACATTGCTTTCCAGATCCTTCAAAAATGTTTCACAAAGGCAACTGAGAAGATAAGCATGAACAGGCATGTACACTAGTCCTTAGTATGTCTGCTCTGAACTAGTGAAGGATGACTTCTGATGAGTTCTATGTACATATCGCTATAATGTGCAGTTTTACATCTCCATCAGCTTACAATGAAAGTGTCACAACAACATTTTACAAATCATTATATATCCATTTTTTTGTCAAATCACAAAGTGCATGTCAGCATGTAAAAAAAAAAAGAAGAATAAAATAAGAAAAAATTGAAAAAAAACCCTGTGTTTTTAACTCACCGCCACCAATACAGGGATCCCAACCTGAAATAAATCATTTCAGAGAGTTGCCCTTCTCATGTCAGGGAGGTGCCCTCTGTCAGGGGTGTGCAACAACTAGGAAGAGAGTACCCCCCATGAAATGATGGCAGATAGCAAAGAAGCTAATGCTTCCCTTGCTATCTGCTGTTTTTTTAGTATTCTGACAGCTGCTGCCGCCAGAATAATAATTAAAAAAAAACAGCATAGGAATGAATAGCTAGATTGCTTTTGGCTAGCTCAATTTGCAATAACCAATAGCAAGCTGGCTATTGCACCCGCATTCTGCTGCTGTCAGTCAGTAAAGGAGGACCTGATGGAGAACTTCAGGTCCATCTCTGGTGATTGACAACAGCAGTGGGCGGGTGCAATAGCTAGTCTGCTATTGGCTATTTCAATTTGTAATAGCTATTTGTTCCTATGCCATTTTTATTGTTTTTTTTTCTGATTGACGGCGGCCAGCGGCCCCGATGTCAAGAAAAAAACCAAACAAACAGATTGCTGGGAAAGGTTTACGCTGCTAGATCGAGCAGCGTAAACCTTTCAGGGAGAAAATGTTTCTCTCCCGGGTATCCGGGAGCCGCTACCTAATAGCGGGAGACTCCCGAAACATCCGGGAGAGTTGAGATATCAGCCAATAATAAGACGAGAAAACATTTATCATAGCAATTGTGCGTGTTTGAACTCGCATATGGCTGCATGGGATAAATTTGCGCCCGATTTATGTTGCTAGTGTAATGTTGTTCATAAATTAGATTAAATAGACTCCAGGAAACAAGACTCGCAACTCCAGGAAAAAAGCTTAACTTTCGCTTATGAAGAAGTGGTCATGGGGACTTTTTAAGCTGCAATTTTTTTATTAGGTGATGCCCCTATTTTTGAGAGCCGCAGGACAAGTGCAGATGTTGCAAACTTTTGCAACTGTTTACATCTGTAAACTGTAAGAGGCTAAAACTGTGGCTATTGCTATGATAAATTCCCCCCTCTGTGTGTGTTTGTGACCTCTCCTATTACACGTTGTAGAGGGTTGATTGGGGGATGGAGGAAACTGTGTCCTATTGCTGCTATATAGCTCACAGTGTCCTAGTCTCCATGGCAACCAATTACACAACTATTCATAACAAAATAATATTAATAATAATAATTCTACTTTATTTAAGAACTTCATATTTTCTATGTTTCCTCTTGCTCTGCCTTGTATTTATTTTTATTATACCTTATTTAAGGTTCACACAAAAAAATAGTATAGTACATTGACTTATGACTTATTTTTATCTCTATTTTAATTTTTGTAATTTATTGTAATTTTTATCTTGCCAAGCCCTTAATTATAATGTTTACATTTCTATTAAATTGTACAAAACATGGGCCATCATGTTCCACCACTGATTAATATTACATCAAACTATTTATTAGATCTTGTGCGCACCTAGGGATATTATTGCACAAAGCTAAGTGCGACGGAACGCTCAAGACAAAGACTCCCATTCATTTCTATGGCCCCTGCTCACACCTGAGCGTTTTATCACAAGCAGAAAAACGCCTGTCACTGGAAAAAGTTACAAGTGCTACTTTTTAGCAAACACAGTCCTTTTTGGTCCCGCAGACTTTAATGTGAGATGACTGGAAAAGCGCTTTTCAAGCGTTCTTACGCATTTTATCACACAAAGTTTCCCATTTACAATATGTCTATGCGACAAAAACGCTAAGGTTTGAACGGGGCCATAGAAATGAATGGGATTCCTTGCTTGAGCAAGGTTTAGCTGCTTGCTTTTGCCTAGGGTAAAAACAAAGTTATACTCACCCGATCATTGGAGCCAGTACCGCTCCCTTCAGCCTATCTCCTTCTCCACTGCAGCGATGGGATGTCCATCAGCGCCCTTACATACAATACACAGTGTATTGGACGTGATGACTTAGGGAACTTAGACCGCTGCAGCGGAGGGAGAGAGCCGCTCCAGGGACCGCTCTAAGAGCAGCCTGGCTCTGAGGATCAAGTGAATATAACTTTTTTTTTAAAACTAGGCAAAAACGAGCAGTTAACCCTTGCAGTGCGGGGGTAGCCCCACTACAAGGGTTGAAGTGACATTAAAGTCACAATTTTTTTCCTCCCCCCCTCCCATGCTGGTTTAAGCACTTACCTTAAATGATGCCTCTTGATCCGATCATCTTCTTCCTTCAACTTGTATTCAGCAATCCCTCCAGCGCTGATGACAGTCTCTGATCCAGCGCAGACTCCTCATGTCTCACGGTGTCTGTCCGACGTGCACGCTCCTTGCTGCATGCATTCACCTCCATTGTGCCTCTCCTCCCCCCACGGATGATCTCTGCTGCATATGCGCCCGCCCCATCATCCTGCACGGATGCTCGAGAAGCTTCAGATCTTCAGGCGGGAGCGAGCGGCAGTGACACAAGTAAGTTTTTATCTTTTTGGTAACTTTTTTATTTAAAACATTTTTTTTTGCATATATCTACTGCTTGCTGATATACTGTATATACTGATATAATAAATGATATACTGTATATACTGATATAATAAATGATATACTATATATATTCATTTATTTATTATATATATAGATATA